GCCAGGGAGCAGAAAGTGCTCAGAGAAAGTGATGGGCACGCCAAAGGGACACCGGAGGAGTGAAAGGGCTCCCGGCGGCCTGGGACGGACCAGCAAAAATCAATCAGGCAGCAGTGGGTTATAATCCACAGTGTGAAACAAGCATCCGCGAGTCTACACGGGTATGAATTATTGAACAGGTTAACACATGGGGAGAAGAGACAAACGTCCTGCTCAAAATTCCAAATAATTTCTGTAGATACTCTGTCCCCAAGGAGGTGGAGCGTGGCCTCTCAGTCCTCAAGTGTGGGTAGCACACGGTGGCCTTCCTTCCAAAGAGCAGAGCAGGCAAAGAGAGAGTAAGAAGAAAGTGGAGACACCTGGAGACTCTATCTTGGCCAGGTGATCAAGGTCACAGCACCATGATGAGTCACATTGATAGGATGTACCCTTGATAGGTCATAATGGGAATGACACTTTATCTCTGCGCCCTTCCTCCCCAAAACCCATAACCCCTGTCTAATCAAGAGATAAACAACAGATAATCCCAACGGAGGGAAATTCTACAAAACACCTGACCAGCACTCCTCAAAACCGCCAATGTCATCAAAAGCAAGGGAAGTCTGAGAAACTATCACACCTGAGAGGAACACAGGAGATAGGACGATGACACAATGGGACCCCGGTACAGAGGTGGGACAACAGGGCAAGCACTGAGGAAATCTAAGAATACGGAGTTGTCGGTACTGAATCGAACAGTGACTTATGAACATCGCTCATGTGTTATGCAAATATACCGCAGAATGTAAGATGTTACTAACAGAGGAAACCAGGCATAGGGTATGTGGGAAGTCGATCTTTGCGAGGTTTCCATAAACCTAAAATTGCCGTCAAAGAGTTTATCGTAAAAAATGTTCTCCCTAACCAAAAACATGATAGATATTTGCATACGTTTTCCCTCCACGCATATTTATTCACCCAACAAATACGGGTTCAGTGCCTCCTCTGGGCTGGCTGGGGCCAGGCTCTGGGGATACAACCATGACAAATATGGCCAGGCCTGCCTTCAGGGGGCTCCGGGTCGACCGTCTGCCTGAGAAATGACCGGTGCGCAAGACAGTGGGGAAAGTTACAAGAGGTAAATACAACTGGTCAGTACCCATGAAAAGTAGATTCCAGAATATACGTTCCAAGACACATACGTTGAAAGACACAAAAAAAAAAAAAATACAAACAAAACTGA